GGACAGAGGACTTAAGATGATAAAGCTGGAGGCAGAGGCAGCCTCAGCAAGGAAGCTAGCTTGGCTCAGAAGTACACGAGTCATGAGTGTCCTGCTCCACAGCATCCCAGTACTGAGGCCCTTTCAAATAAAGACAGTGTTCTGACCTGTGACAGACCTCACTGAACCCCAGGGAGTGAAGGCACTAGGCTTAGCCTTCTTGCTCTTAGGAAGAAAATATAGTATCATTGCTGCAGCTGCTCTTCCTTTAAAGTAGCCAAGAAGCAGAAAGCATTCATCCAGGGGGAACAGAAACATCCATGCATGTGGAATAAAGGGAAAAAGGAAAGGGAGGAAGATGTCATTTAGGTGCATTCATTTATCACTACAAGTAGGTCCTGGGGCCGCCTTTGTGACAGCCCCCCCCTAGTTATCTATGGCCAGCACTGTAGAGGGACACAGACACACAATTACAAGTATGAGAAAAGCTACAGGCTAACATGTGCTGGTCTAACCTTGTCTACCAGGGGTCAGAGGATTCCCTGGAGAAATACAACTAACTTAAGGATGTATATAGAGAGTTAACTGAGGAGGCTTTGAGGATAACAACTATCATGGGACAGGATCCTGTCTGGAGAGAGGGTGGTGCATGGGTCAGACTAAAGTCATTTACAGTGGTGAGAGCTCAAAGAACAGGGAGCGTGGCATCCATGGAAGGCCCACTGGTCAGGGATTTTAGGCTTACCTAAGGATTGGGGATTTATCCCTAAAGGACAATGGGAATCTGTGGCAGCATTCCAAAGTGGTGAAAGGTCATGCTCCATGGTCTATCTTAAAATGTTCAAATAAAGAAAGATGGGCCTGGGGAAGATGGCTCAGAGCTTAAGAGCATTTACTGCTCCTCCAGAGGACCTGGGTTCGGTTCCCAACACCCACATGGTGGCTAACAACCATCCATAACTCCAGTTCCAGGGGATCCAACACCCTCTTCTGACCTCCATGGGCACTGCACACTGCATGACACAGGTGCATTACATATATGCAGGCAAAACACTCATCCACATAAAATAAATAAATTAATAAGATTTTAAATAAATAAATAAAGCCAGGCATGATGGTGTATGCCTTTAATCCCAGCACTTGGGAGGCAGAAGCAGGTGGATCTTTGTGAGTTCAAGTCTAGCCTGGTCTACATAGAGAGTTTCGGGACAGCTGGGGCTACAGGGAGGCCCTGTCTCAAAAAGACCAAAAAAAAGCAGATGAGTGCAACAGCTGTGGGTAAGGCACCTGCCACTAAGACAACAACCTGAGTTCAATCCGTAGAATCCATAGGATGGAAGAAGAGAACCAACTCCCACAAACTATCCTCTGATCTCTGTGTGCATACACAAAATAAATAAATAAAAGTTAAATTTTAAAATTGTTTAAAGAAGTGCTGGAGAGATGGCTCAGCGGTTAAGAGCAATTGACCATTCCTGCAGAGGACCTGGATTTGGTTCCCAGTGACCACATGGCAGCTAACAAATCCATAGGATGGAAGAAGAGAACCAACTCCCACAAACTATCCTCTGATCTCTGTGTGCATACACAAAATAAATAAATAAAAGTTAAATTTTAAAATTGTTTAAAGAAGTGCTGGAGAGATGGCTCAGCGGTTAAGAGCAATTGACCATTCCTGCAGAGGACCTGGATTTGGTTCCCAGTGACCACATGGCAGCTAACAAATGTCTGTAACTCCAGTTCCAGGAAATCGGATGTTCTCTTCTGACCTCCAAGAACACTACATGTATATAGTATGTGGTACACTTACATACATGCAGGCAGAACACTCATACACATAAAATGAAAATGAAAATTGAATTTAAAAAATTTTAAAAGGAAAAAAGTGTGTGATGTCCACCCCTCGACTATAACTTGTTCAGTAGCAGACACTCAATCCAGATGCTACATCCTCATAAATGACAACGACCTTCTTTGAATTCCACCAGTGCTTTCCCACATGGCTGCACTCAATCTCTCTGCCACAACATCCGCGCTACTGGTATTTGATGTAGAAGGATGGCTTTCATCCTCTCATTGGTTCCTGTAGCCAAGCTACCAGGAATAAGTCAATAATCTTCTTGCCAGGGGCCCCTCAACTTGTAAATGCTTGGGAGTCAGGGACCAGGTCTATGGATTGGGAGGGTCACTGCAGAAACCATGCATGCTCTTTCTGGCTTCCAACACTGAAGAAGCAATCACAGCGCCTGCTGTCCTCACTACTGTCACTTAGCAGTGCTGATGGCCAGGTCCAGTTTGGCAGTTGGCCATCTCTGGACCTTGACCCCAGGTACTGTGCCCTCTAGGTACTGAGTACACCTGGCTGTCTTAGAGATGGGTATTTAAAAGCCCATCTGAAACTAGAAAAATGGAACTCCAACACCCTTCTCTGGAACATTCTACACATAAAATGGGTAGCAGCCTAGACACACACATGGGCCTTGTTACATTCTAAATGCTCTGAGGAAAAGACACCATTCAAACTCTACCTCAGAAGTGTTTCAGCCTCTGGGCAGGGGAGAAGGGAGAGGGAGAGGCTTCCCCGGGTTGCTCAAATCACCAGACCGAGAATAAAGAGGGTTTTCAGAGCCTGGAGTTTTCCAGCTGCTTGGAAACAGGAAGTGCCCAATCCCAGAGAACAGTAACCCTCACACACGCCCTACATAAAGACATGTTGAGCCATTAGCTCTAATTGCCTGTGACTGACACAGGAGTGAGGCCGGCCTTCCAGGCGTTTGCTCAGCGGAAAGAAAACAAACAGCTCACTGGGGACCCAGGCAGCCATTTTCTCTCCTTTCTGCCAAAATGATTCTGCCCTGTTCCCCCAAAAATTGTAGCATAGATTTGAAATTACAAACCAAAGAGAGCTCTTTCGAGTAGTCCATACCACATATGAGAGAGAAAAGAGTCTCTTTTCTGTAAGGAGCAGACACAAGCAATTGTTAATATCTTTTCACAAAATCAAAAACTTGACACACACACAAAAAGATGTTTTCAGACTGCCTCTCAACACCCCCAGTTCTCTTCAGATTTGAGGCAGTAAGAATTATCCACAAAATATTTTTCAGCTAATCAACACATTTTATTAAGAGAAAGAAGTTAGATATGTGTGCCAAGTATAAGCAGAAAATCACATATGCCTTTAGATATAGGATTTTTAACAACTGATTTCAGAAATAGCTTTAAGAGCAATGCAGCATATTCTCCATCAAGCAAGAGACTTCTTTCTGGTGTCCATTGCAAACCATTAAGGCTCAGAGAATACACACCACCAGCAAGTCTACTTCAGCCAGATCACCAGTGACTACAGGGGTACAGACACTGGTTTCTTTAGGACAATTTTTCTAAAAAATATTTTTGAAACAGGGTCTCCCTGTAGTCCCAGCTGGCCTGGAACTCACTATGTAGACCATGCTATCTTTGAACTCACAGAGATCCATCCACCTGCCTCTTCTTCCTAAGTGCTGGGATTAAATACATGCACCACCACACCTGGCCTAAGCCAATTTTTTTTTTTTTTTTTGTCTTTTTGAGACAGGGTCTCCTTGTATCCCCAGCTGGCCTGGAACTCACTAAGATCCTCCTGCCTCTGCCTCCCAAGTGCTGGAATTAAAGGCATGCGCCACCACGCCTGGCAAGGCCAATTTTTTTTAAATGATCACTTATTGGGGGAGGGTGGGAAGTACATGCCATGGGGCTAATATGGAGGTCAGAGGACAACCTGCAGGAGTGGGTTCTCTCCCTCCATCTCAGGGGTTCCCAGGGATCAAATTCAGGACGCGGGCTAAGCAAGCACCTTTACCCACTGAGCCATCTCACCAGCCTGGGAAATTGTGGGGTAATTTTTGTGACAAACTGGTAACCAGATGAACAATGGGACTGGCCCCGACCATGATCAGTCTTCACTAAGGTGAGACTTGTTTCCCCAGGTCAGAAGCATTCTCCACCTTTGTGGATCCTTTAGAACCACTTCAAAAACATCACTTGCCTATCTTCCAGCAAGAGTTGCACAGACCATTTTATGTGGATAGTTATTATTACCACCTCACCAACATGTAAGTCACTTGGCCAAGGTCACAGAAGTAAGGTGGAACAGTGAATTCAACCCTTTATTTGATTCCCTGCCAAAATCCATATTCTTTTTTAAATTTTATTTTACATGTGGGGTGTGTGTGCGTGTGTGTGTGTGTAGCCATGCATGTGGAGGTAAAAGGACAAATTGCAGGAGCTGGATCTCTCCTTCTACCATGTTGGTTCTGGGAATTGAACTCAGGTCATCAATTCCTTTCCCCAAAATTCATGTTCTTTCTTTGGAGACAAGGTCTCACTATATAGCCCTGGCTGGCCTGGGACTCATTGTGTAAACCAGTCTGGTCTTAGACTCATAGAGATCCGCCTGCCTCTGTCTCCTGAACGCTGGGTTAAAAGTATGCGCCACCATACCTGGCAAAAATCCAAGTTCTTAATCTGCACTCACTATACAGTCAATCCTCCCTTTGGCTTACTGGGGTTGTCATCTTCTCAGCCGAGGTTGTCACTACCCAAATTAAAGGATGTCAAGAAAACTAGGAGTCCATGTTAACATGGGCCCAGCTGTAGGAACAACATGGTCACATTAATTCAGCACCTAAAACCCAAGCCCTCCATAGGTTGTCAAGGTAAAGCTCAGGACAGAAAAGGCTATTTTTTACACAGGATCTAGACAAACACCCTCCTATGATCCAAGAAGGCAAAATGAGCCTCTTGTTCCACAAAAGCCACTCAGGGTGAGGTTGTTCAGGTCCCAGCATAAGGCAGCATTGATTTTGCCCTGATGATTTAGGTTCTTTTTCAGTTATATAGAATAAGCCGTTCTTCCACACCTCTCTTGCTTCTATGCACAGCAGCCCCTAGAGACTACTGGTACTAAGTGATAAATAGCCACATTATTTCTGACCTTAATCCTGGAGGAGAGGATGGCTGTGGGACACAAGGCTACTCACCCAGCAGGGAGAGCATCGGGAGCCTGGGCAGCAGCTGGGAGCTGCTGTGTCCCTGAAGTGCTTGGCTCCTCTCCCTCAGCGGGCACGGTAGGTGCAGGAAGGGATGTCGTGTTGGGGTTTGGGGTCACACTCAGGGCTGTGGCAGGCGGGGATGTCACACCAACAATAGAAGGTTCTTCAGGATCAGTGGCTGCAGTGGGTTCCTCGTTCACTGAAAATACACAAACCGTACTTAAAATATTAATCAAGAATAAGAATTGTTTCCTTTTACTAGGTTTCTCACTTAATACACTAACACCTGTCTACAATACTAGCTTACATGAATTGGGCAACAGCAACAAATTTTACAGACCCAGGCATGGTAGTACACACATGTAATCCCAGCACTCAGAAGGCAGAGGCAGGAAGGTCAACTCAAGTGTGAAGCCAGCCTGGTCAACACAGTGAGTTTCATGCCGACCAGGTCTAACAGTATACAAGAGGGGTGAACAGAGGCACTTTTATGTTCTATGTTGTAAGAGCACATTTGTACTTCATATTGTAGAAAGGAATCTACCCATATACATTATGTAATAATCATAATCGGCACAGACATACTGCTAAGAGTTGGTTCTGAGCTAACTGTCTACCCAGGTGGTACCTCAGGAGGAATATAATTCTCGGTGGCCTTGGGAGAGAGCTGATAGCAAGAGAAAAGTGCAGGAGAAGATGAGGAGGGCCAGGAACCAGCACCATGAGTCTGGAGACAAGCTGGCCACATGAGTAGCACGAAGGCCGCTTTGCTGCTCCCTGCACAGTTTACCAGCAGGAGGTGGGAGGGGTGTGGATTTCTCTGAGACGTTGACCACCGTGTCCACAGACTGTTGGCTCTCTGAATAACGTGCAAGCTTAGAGATTCAGTTTCTGTCTCTCTTCATTGGTGTTTTGCTGACAAGCAAAGCAAACTCCAGCATTCTGAGGTTCCAGGGTAACATATAGTAAGTTCCAGGTCAGCCAGCCAGGGCTACATAGCAAGAGCCTATCTCAAAAAACAAACAAACCAGCAAACCACCTCCAACAAAAGTGTAACAGTGCAAATGACAGCAGGTTCATAATATCCGTCCAAAGGGTTCCGAGAGCGAGCTGTGTGTGTGCAGGTCTGTGTGGTATGTGCTGGATGCACAAAAGTGAACCAGTATGTGCACTTGTGCATGTGCATGCAGAGGCCAGAGCAGGGCACATGAAGGGTCGTCCTCTGGCTTCTCTGCCTTACTGCCTTGAGACACGGTCTCTCACTAGACCAGAAGCTCTCGATTTCAGCTAGGCTGACCAGTGAACGCTCAAGATCTACCTGTTTCTGCCTCCCAGTGCTGAGGTTATAGGAACATACATATAGCCATGACTGGCGTGTGTGCGTGCGTGCGTGCGTGTGTGTATGACAAGGTCTCACCATATAGCCTTGATTGGCCTGAAACTCACTATGTGGACCGGGCTGGCTTCAAACTCACAAGAGAGTTTGAGACTCTGCTGAGACTCAAGACATGGGCCACCGTGCCTGGCCCATGCCTAGCTTTTTACATGGTTCCGGGGATTCAAACTCAGGTCCCCACGCTTACAGAACAAGACTCCTTTTTAAATATTTTTATTATTTTTATGTGTATGAGTGTTATTGCCTACATGTATATGAGTGCACCCATATCATGCAATGCTGCAGAGACCAGAAGAGGGCTTCTAATTCCCTTGGAACTGGAGTTAAGGACAGTTCATAGCCGCCATGTGGGTGCTGGGAATCAAACCCTGGTCCTCTGCAAGAGCAGTCAGTGTTCTTAACCGCTAAGCCATCTCTCCAGCTCCAGAACAAGCACTCTTAAGCCATCTTCCCAAACCCTGGAAAATGAATCTTTAATTTAAATATAACTTTACTGGGGTTTTCTAATATACCATAGTTACACTGACTGCAATGAAAGAGAAACATGTTGGTGTTAATGAAGCAAGACCAAGGCAAGGCCAAGTTTAGTGGGTCACATCCTTTTCTTTAAAGCTGCCATCTGTCTGCTAGACATGGTAGCACCTTCCTTCAAAAACCTCTACACACATAAGAGGTAGAAGACTTCCAATAATGTCCCTGTTCTTTTAAAGACTCATGGTGCAAGACAGAAGCAGAGATTAACATGGGACAAAGAGGGGGCTGGAATGCTAAAGATTTGTCTCCTAGGTAACAATAGAAAAAGAAACAAGTGAACCAGGCTAGCTCTCAAATCAACTTCATCTTTGATGATTGCTTATGTCTACGAGGACCCCCAAGGCACTGAAATATCCTCTTAACTCAGAAAAAGGATCAAATAAGGTTTCAAAGAGTTGTAATCTTGCAAAGCAGATGAACCATATACAGAGAATTTTTACATGTGATTGCATATGTTTACATTTATGTTAGAATTTCATTAGAAAATGTCCTAATCATCTTTCAGCCCCATCTTCCTAATTCAGAAATTTGTTTTGTAGTTTCCCTAATATGCTTGAAGAAAGTTCAACTCAATTCCACCAGCTGGACTGAGTTCCACCCCCAAAACAATTCAAGGTGTCCGATGTGGTTTTAGTACAAAGGCTGCTCTTTCCTCAGTGTTTCTAGCCCTTTCCTCTCCTGCCACTGCTCCTAGGTGACACTAGGATCAGACCACAGTAAGATAAATGCCACGAGACCAGGAGAGTCAGATGACAAATTTAAATGAGAATCTGTTAAAATTTATTGAAGTGGGATGGGGGTGTGTATACTAAGTTCTTTCTTTGGGTTATGACCTTTGCCCCTCACATACAATCCCACCAGTTAGGTAGCTTGGACAGCCCCCGTTTTACATTAAGGAAACTAAATACTAGACCTGGCAGGGTTGCAGGGTATCTAATTCACACACACCCCTCCCTCCCTCCACTCTCTGCATAGCCTTTACCATGACCAGATGATAGAGAATTCGGAGCAACCACTGGATCCTACTAGCTAACACTGGTAATCAGCAAAAACTACAATGTCTGTACATGATGTGAAAACAAGCTTGACTGTAACAAATGGCCATGAGCTTGAGGCGTGAGACTGCCTCTAATAGAGTCCCTCATTTCTTTCTGTATTTCTTTCTGTTCTATTTATTTATCTTGCAATGCAGGGGATCAACCAGAGCCTTGTACAGACTGGGCAGGCACCGTATCACTGAACTGCATCCCTAGCCCGTGATTCACTTGCTTTCTTCCCAGTATCAAATGTTGTCAGGCACACAGGCTAAATTAGTTGTTTAACAGATAACTAAATCTTGTACAATTGCTGCTACCCCAACATATATGAAAGACTTTATATTCATATCCCTTACGACCATCTGAGCCAAGCTAGTAACACACAACAGATGGCAATTCTCTTTATGAAAATCTGTATTTTATGCAATTCCAATTTTTTAAAAACTCTATTATGACTTTTGTCAGCGCTATAAAAACTTGTTGTAAAACCTGTAAGAAAACTAAATACATAAGAATAAACATTAAAGTCTAAAGAAGAAGAGTATGCTTTCTGTAAGGGAGTTTTTCTCTAATGTACTAAACCTATTAAAAAGCTATAATGATGACTTGGGCATGAAAAGTCAAAGAATGATTAAATAAAAAAAGTTCAGAAACAGGCAAATAATTTAAAAATTCATTGAAGGGGCTGGGTGTGGTGGCACACACCTTTAATCCCAGCACTCAGAAGGCAGAGGCAGGCAGATCTCTGTGAGTTTAAGGCCAGCCTGGTCTACATAGTGAGTTCCAGGACAGCTGGGGCTACAGGGAGATGCTGTCTCAAAAAGACCAGAAAAAAAAAAAAAATTCACTGAAGGCTGCAAAACCTTCGAATAAGATTCGAATTCCCCTGGTGTCTCCTTTGTTTATTGGCTGGAACATGTCTAGTAAAGAGGACTGCCCCTTATCAACAGCTTGGCTTCCCTGAGGTTTAGCTTGTAAAGGAAAAGCCAGGAGAAAAGCTCGATCCTTCTCTTTGCCAGTTTTCAGAATAATATGTCGATGTCCTTGCATCATCTGAAAATGAACATGGGGTTTTTTTACTTTCTTTATTTTTGAGACAAGGTCTCTCTGTAGCCCCAGCTGTCCTGGAACTCACAGAGATCCACCTGCCTCAGCCTCCCAGGTGCTGGGATTAAAGGCTTGCGCCACCACACCCAGCTGGGGTTTTTTTTTCCTTGAAGGTTACTGAGGGGGGCTGGGGAGATGGCTCAGTAGTTATGAGCATGTACTGCTCTTCCAGAGGACCCAAGTTCAGTTCCCAGCACCCATGTCCAGTGGCTCACAACTGCCAGTAAACCAGCTCCAGGGGATCCCATGCCTCTGGCCACCTTAGTCACCTACACTCTTGTATGTGCACCCGAAAGCGCACACACGCACACACACATAATTTTAAAAAATATTTTATTATTTTTATTTTATGTGTATGAGTGTATTGTCTGCATGTATGTGAGTGCATCTGTATCATGCAATGCCTCGGAGGTCAGAAGAGGGCTTCAGAGTCCCCTAGAATTGGAGTTAAGGATGGTTCGTAGCCACCATGTGGGTGCTGGGAATCGAACCCGGGTCCTCTGCAAGAGCAATCAACTCAGTTGTTAACAAAAATATAATTCAACAAATATTCTAGTACAATTCAGTGATTTAATGCTGATTTTTTTCAAAATGACACTCAAACTCACAAAGATCCGCCTGCCTCTGCCTCCTGAGTGCTGGGACTAAAGGCGTGCGCCACCACACCCATCTTTTTAGTTTTTATTTTTTGGTTTTTTTGAGACAGGTCTTCCTGTAGCTCCTGCTGGTTTAGAACTCACTATGTAGACCAAGCTGGCCTCAAACTCACAGAGATCCTCCTGCCTCCGAAAAAAGAAAATCTTTCTTTAAAATGTTGGTGAAAAAAAATTCACTGAGGTATTTAAATATTTCAGTCCATGTCTTAACACCCTTATTGATACTAAACTCACCCCTTCTTTGGCTGGGGCTAAGGGTAGAGGGAGACAAAGTTCTTTAAGTTGGCTTCAAGTTCTATGGAACAATGGTAAGATAATTAAGCGGGAAACTGCAGAACAGTGTGTATTTTGTTATTATCATGCATGCATGCAATGTGCCTTCTTTTTCTTCTTTCAAAGAACACATATGCATAAACTTGTATACTTAAAGACTATGGAGAAATCACAAGAAACCCAACAGTGGCTGCCT